GGTTCACCCTGACCTCCGCACCCCCACTGAATAAATAAATAAATAAATAAATGCAGATTTTGCTCTGCGCTGTGAGAGAAATGGGAGCGTGGAGTCACTGAAAATGCTGGCAGCATCTGTTTGGAGGAGGGTTTCTCCTTCCGGATTTGCAGAGCAGTTGGCCGTTTGTCGGTTATTTGAAGCTTTGTGAAGCAAAATGCTTTGTTTCTTTTTCCTAAACAAATTGGTTTCTTCGGTTGCATCTTTCGGATGCATTTTACATAGGCAGTAATTTTTGGTAAATGCCGTAATGGTCTTTCTAGCAGGCTAAATACCGTGCGGCTTCGGGTGCCCCTGGGGGGTGTGAGGGCTGTTTTCATCCTGCAGAGGCATCTCCCAAGGAAGCAGAGGTGCTCGAGAAGGAGCCACATGGCTCTAAAGCCGAGGGCAAGGGACCAGCAGCTGCTCGTAGAGGCTAGAAGCGGCAGCGGGCACCAAGAGTGGCCTTATTCCTTCGGGGTAGTAACGTCATCACTGGGCAGCAGGATGCTCCCCGGTGGCACCCAGAGAGCCTCCCGAGCCAGGAGGGTGTGATGGGATGTCCCAGCCCCAGAGCTCTGGCCACCAGAGTCATTTCACTGGAACAACAGCTTTTCATGCCCCTGGCCGCCTGCCAAGCTCCATTTAAATTTACTTCCGCCGCTCCGGGGGTGATTCTGGATTATCTCAAGTGTACACTGAAATTAATCTGCCCTCAGAAAAGCAGCCAGCGCAGTAATCCTTGACTCAGTGGGCCGACACGGCCGAGGGGAGGAATGCCACCGCGCTCTTCCTCCTGGCGTGCAGCCGGGAGATGTGCCCGCCTCAGCCTGCGTGGCGCTCCAGGTGCTGCCGGGATGGCAACCAGCTTTGCTGCACCACGGATCGTCCCGTGGAGTAACCCTGACTGGATGGGAGCTCCCGAGCTCCGTAGCCCCCTGCCCAGCATAGCCCAGGTGGCTCCTCGCTGCCTCCATCCAAGCTTTGAACATCTCTAAGGGTGAAGATCTCACCAGCTCTGTTGCAGTGTTTGACCACATTGATTTCCTCTGTATCTGGTCCAAATTTCCATTGTTCTGACCTGGGTTGGCTGCCCCTAGCCTTTTCGCAGCTGGGAAGAGTCCAACTCCTTCTTCTCTGCACCCTCGGATGGGTTGTTGAAGTCAGTCTTGAGAACTTCTTTCTTAAGGCTGGATGTAGTTAAAACTCTATGGTTTCCTCGCATGGTGTTTTCACATCAAGTACACAATGCCCAGGGACTAGGGCAATGGCCACAGCAGCTAAAGCTCGGGGTAGGGAGTAAAGACCTTTTAAGAGAAATTGCTCTTTTCTTTTTCTTCAGATCAAGGCCATTCTTGGATGCAGCTGGAAGTAGATGTAGGGCTCTCTTCACAATGACCCTGTCACCAGCACAAAGGCCGTGCCCTAGCATTTAACAAGAGCGATTTGTCGAGAACATAGTTGTCTTTGCAGTGTTTTCGGGCTGAATTCATGATGGACGATGGATGGATCCTGGACCATTCACTGCCTGCACACATGTTGCATGCCAGAGCTCAGTCTGACCCTCTTTCATAAACCTAGAAATGAGTGAATTTCGTTTCACTGGATGACATCTGCATCATGTCTTGGGCACGAGAGCTTTCTGGACTTTGGTTTCTGACGACAGCTGCTCTACATTGCCCTGGTGTTGTTCAGCTTAGAGCCATGGGTTGGGGGCCCTTTCTTGCTTCCGTTGCCTTCTGTGATTTAATAATACATTTACAACTCATATTCATCATCCTTTAATAACATTAGTACTTCAGTTTCAAGACCCTGCCATTTGGTTTTGCTCCAGGTGTCCTTGAAATGGGGCGGGTGGGTGAACAGTCAGTGCAAATACACAGGTTTTTCCCTTTTGTTCCGCAGCTGAACATGCTGCTCCGAGGAGGCTGCTTTGGCCTGGTGTTCGCATGCAACGCAGTCATGTGGACGATCTTCGCAAAAGCCCTGCGGCTCCCCCCCTCCTCAGCCGCTGCCTCCGTGACCACAGCGGCCTCCAACTTCATCTCCTCGGTGAGTGAATTCACCCCAGAGGTGCTGGAGGCTGCAGAAATGCAGCGACGAGAGGACGCGCTGCTGGGCAAGACGGTCCTAGATCATCCCTCAGTGAAACCAGGGGCACCTGCAGCTGTGAAGGGAGATTTAACTACTCCTGTGTAGGCAGACATGAAATAGTTGTGTCAGGTATCGCTGGGTCTGACCCCTTTGTGTAGGTTTTTTCTGGGTAATGCAGGAAGGGCGCTGCTGCCAAGCACAGTACCTGGTGCTGCAGTGTTTACTGAGCTTTTCTAATTGCCTGAAATAAAATGGGCCAATGAGAGCTGGAGCTGGAAACTTTTCCTTCTTTTGCTTTTACTTTAGCAAAACCTCGCTTGCCGCAAGACAAAGCTACCTGGGTGTGACTGCTCACTGCAAGAGCGTGTCGGACCTGCACATTTCCTCTGCTTTCTTCTCAGGCTGTTGCTCTCGTTTCTGTGCTCTAGCAGTTCTCAGTCGCTCTATAGGGTTGCCCAAAACACTTTAAAACCAGCGGGACCTATCTTTTATTGACTTGAGTAGAGTCTAAGTTCCCTAAAATTGTTCAGAAGGCAGCAAAAAAGCTGTGCGTCTGCCAAACTCCTGCTTTGGGCCTCTGTGTGGCTGCACCTCCCAGCCCAGATGCCAGAGTAGACCTTTCTCAACATTAGCAGCACCCTGAAGCAGCAGGGACAGCATTTCTGCTGGTGGTCCTAGCAGGGCTTCTCTTAGGCTGGCTTTTCCACACTCAGCCCTCCCTGCAGTACAAATCCTCTCTTTCCTGTTCTTCAGGCCGTCCTGGGCAAGCTCCTCTTCGGGGAGACGTGGACGCTGCTGTGGTGGCTCGGCCTCGCCATGACGCTGGGCGGCCTCGCGCTGCTGCACACGGCGGCGCCACAGGCCACACCGCTGCCGGCGGGGGACAAGAGGAAGTGAAGAGGACGGAGGGTACCCGGAGCGGCGCCGCCCGTCGTGAGGAGCCCCTGCTCCGCATCCCGGGGGCTGCTGATGGGTGGTGCCAGCCCCTCGGACACTGGTGGGACGATGGTGTTGGGCTACGAGGAACAGCAGGCAGTTGTACTTGTTCAACATGCGGCATTCGCAAGGGGCAGTGGAGGAGTGGGGTGAAACCTGCACTCCACAGATTTCTGGTCAGCTCACCAAGTAATTATGGTTTCGTATTGAATAAGGCTGAATGGTTTTGTGCGTCACCTTTTGGTTGAGACTGGTTCCTTTCCCTCCTGTTTGTTCTTGGGAGTGCGGAGGATTGTGGGCCATGGGAAGGGCAGCAGCAGTCAATGGGAGAGCTGGAGAAGGCACCATTTCATCTGCCAAAGTGGGCTTGATTCCCAGATGCCTCCAAAATGTTGGGCCTCCACCCATGCCTCTCAGGGCAG